AGTCAAAGCTGGGAAACCCAGAGGGCCTGACCCAGGCACCTAGGCTTCCTCTACGGACAAAGAGAGGAGGGCACCTCCAAAATGCAGTGGGGAAGGCCCCACAGAGCTAGCTGTGCAAAACCACCCCCCAGCCTTGGAAGAACCTTGGAGTATATGCCTCATATAAAGCCCTTCCAGGCTGCTTGAAATCTGCATTTTATATTAAGCAGAAACTCGCAGAAGCAGAAAGAGAATAATAACCGGGGAAGTGGAAATAAGGAGGTTTTGTCTTCTGCTTTCAGCTGAATGCTCCAGCTTGGGTTGACAGCCTGGCTGCCTCCTGCCTGCTGCCCTTCTGGCCCCCAAAATTTCTACTCCATGCCCTGTCCCTCCATCACCCTCCCAGCCTGAGGGTTCAGTCACCTCTCCCACACACAGGTGCTAGGAATACTCCTTGGGCCGAAGAGCATGAACAACCCATCTCTGCAGTCCCTCAGCAAGTACTGCAATCCACCACAGAGTACGAAAGGCACACCGAAGGGAAGCCAACGTTCCCACGTTTGAGGAGAAGCCGTCACCTCTGTGTCCTCTGCTGAACATGCCGGCACAAGGGAGCGATGTCGAACGCACCTTCCCAGGACAGGCAGGTTCTCCCTGGGGGATTTCTGCAGGGAGGTGCTCCAGCTCCAAACTGCAGTTGATGAAGCTTCAAGCAAGTTCAGCACGTTGTTCCCCGAGATGCCCTGGGGACACTTCTGAGCACATGTGGGAGCCAAGAGGACAGTCTGCCGCAGAGGATCAGGAGCAAGTAGCCAAAAAAGAGGAGCTAATTAAGGAGGCTTTGCTGCATCACGATACAAGAGCCCTACAGACCCCGAAAAACAAATGAGAGCAAGACTCTCATTTCTCCAGAGCTGCTTCTCAGGCATTAGTATTGGCTAGGGGCTGTATCTGATATTCTGCACGAGCTGGTGTCCCAGCTCTGGTGGGAGCTGTGGGCTTGTAACTGTGAAGAACCAGGGATAAGATAATTCTTTTAGGTGCTTTAGAGAATTTGATAACAGGCATCAAACTGCCAGTCTGACTTGTGAAAAAAGAGATGCATGGATCAAACTGTACTCATGAGGGGAAAGAAATCCCATCATAGCAAAATATGATATTGCTTAATAAGTTTTAAATGTTTGTTTCACTCCTGAAACACAATATGATGTAATGAGACGTAAGTGAAACTTTCTACAGCTTAAACAATTCTTTATTTAAACAAATTTAAATGATTTCTCTTGAACACGCTTGGCAGTCTCCATAAATCAATATTCTCAGTCCTAAGTACTAAAGAATAAAATTTACTTTGGAAAATTATATTACTTCATCTTCAACCTTTATTCACTGTAGGAGATTATTAGTATTGCAAGAACTCGATAAATTTAATGGCAGCAGATGGTAGATTCGTGAAGTACTAGTTGCCAAAGAAAAAATTGTTTTTAAGCTTTGCAGCACACTATACCATCTCAAATTGACTCATGAAGAGTGGGAATGAGTGAAAACTAATATGGTAAAAATGTACATAAACCACAGAAATCTTTTTTTTTTAAATTTACAACACTTGTCTGCTATGTGTTATAATGTAATCGCTCCAATAAAAACTACACTTTGCACAATAACAAAGATTGTTTTCTTCTCTTGACTTTTAGCTATTTGCTCAAGCCCAGTGATGCAGTGAGGTGCTGAAGCATCTTTCTGCTGTTACATTCATTCCTGCAGGCCCACTGAGCAGGGTTTTGTGTCTCCACTGAGCATCATGCCAGCCGGCATCACTGGCCCGGGAGTGAGTGCTGGGGAGGAATCATTCAGATGGAACAGCTGCTGTTTTTAAGGTGCTGGAATCGGGCAGAGGATTGAGTGTACATCACTTCTTGGCTTTGCTACCTGTCATCACCTGAAGCTGCATCAACTTTTGACTCATGCAGCATGTTTATACTGTAGCAGCTTTTGCTATGATATACAGTTAGAGTTATGATATACAGTTATAGTTTCCAAAGCGTTTTGGTGAGCTTTTACCAGTCGGGTGATGTTTTGGCTGTCTGCAGGCCAGTACTTCTATCATGTGTGCAAGGCCTTTTGTCTGGCCATGTCCCGCGGACTTCACATATTAAAGGGTAAGTAGTAGTTTTTGTTTCTCCTCCAAATTGCTCTCTCAGAACAGCAAATTTGAAAACTCATATATCCAGGTTAAATTCAGTGATACATCAGGTGGCCAAGCAGTAATTTGCCACCACAGAGGCCTGATCTACTAATGTGAGGTAATCATTAACACAGGATCCCAGGGAGGCGGTGGGAAGTGCACGTGTGTGCTGAAAAGGAAGGGGCAGCTAGAAGAGAAGGTGGCCTCATGACTCCGCCTCATTTCGTTAAACTTTGTTCAAAACTCATTGCTTTTCCAGGTTTTACACTTTATTTCACCATGCTTTACAGAACACAGCGGCAGACTCCTGCCCTGCATACACTTTTTCTCAATGATCCTTGCTCTCTCAGACCAAACAGGCTGTATTATCTTTTCTTCCCATACGACCCTGCCATAGCCCATGGCTAGGTGGTCAATTATCTGTTGAACTATTCACTGGCTAGCCAGATTGTAAAAAATACATCACATGGTTGGCTTCCCTAATTAGATTATGTTCAGCAACCCAAGGGTGAAGCCAATATGTATTCTAGATACAGATAATGCATATATATAGAAGAGCGCTTTGAAAAACCCCATAGCGAAGTTATTGTTTTGTGCCTGTTGTGGTATTTTCAAGATCTCTCATTACTAAACAGCTGTTTTTTCAGCTGGAAAATCTTAACATTAAATTTTTAGCAATTATATTTTCTCCTGGCCAAGGTGAATTCCAAGTTTTTAAATGTTAACTCAAAATGCTTTTTTTGTAGTCATTCACCAGGAGAGAATGCTTTAACAAGCAAGGGAGCAGAAGAGCTATGAACTATTATATGAAAGGGGCTGGCCTGGAAGGGATGGAGAATTTGATTTCTCCCCCATGCAGAAATTCCAAAACGGTTGATCTTTAAGTAAATTCTTCAGCTGTAATACTTACAAAATAACACACATCAGAAAATAATTTCCTCCTTCCAGTAAGATGGCTAACATTAAACATTAAAGGCATTTTAGCTTTAGTAGTTTCTGTCCTTATGACTACAACTGTGATTAGAGAATCCTGTTTCTCTCTCTTTTCTGTAAGAAACTAGAAAGGATTTTTTTTTAGGAAAAAATATAAAACCCAATTTTACAATTGTATCACTATGTTTGATCAAGGATTTTAACTTTTTAAAAGCCTAGGTGCTAAATATTGAATCAGGAAAACAGATTCTGACCAGAGGCTAACAAGCAGATAGAGACATTTCTTCTGCACTAGAATTTAGCATCATCAGCTTTCACAGTAAACATTTTTCTAGGAAAATTCAATAAAACAAAAGCATTTTGCTGTAATTTATTGACAAAGAAGAGTTGGTGGCAGTGTTAACTACACCCCATCAAACAGAGTACTGAACAATGCCACAAAATCCAACTATGAATCACACCTAGAGAAGAAATACATGAAGGTATACACAGAAAAATATTAACTCAAGCAGGACCAATAAAAATAGTTCACTTGCAAGGCTTAAAATAATCAGTCGTGACATGAAGCGGTGTTCTCGGCACAGAAAGTGGCTCCTGCCTTATACGTCACTCCAAACTCACACCTATACTATGAAAAATTGGGAAACCATATCATGCCTTTGTGCCATGAAGCATGAAGATTACTTAGTCTTTACAATTTCTAGACGATTTTATTCCAATGTAGTTGTGATCTGTATTTGCTATCAATAAACAGCTATTTTCTCATATCAGCTTTTACGTAGCAGACTACTAATTTCCATGCTAAATATTACTGTAGATATCTCATTTCTTCTAAATAAATTTCTCAACTGATTGTCCTTCTATTTCATTCTTTGCTGCACGGTCCAGCACTTCCATCAGGTTTTAGGAAGGCCTGCACTACAAGCCACCAATCCCAAGATATGCCTAAGTGTAAGTGTTGTAACAACTCTGAATACCAAGCAAGTTAAAAGGTCCTCTGGAGAAGAACTAGTGCTCCCCAGAAACATAAACGTTGAAAAACCATCAGGGCTTGCTGGCTTGTTTACCTCCAGGAGAACATTTTTTTCCAGTGTGACTAGTACTGAATTTGAAGGTGAAATTTGGTAGTACATACATGAATACTGAATTACAGTCACTTTAAAAATACAAAACCAAATGAAAATAAACTGATCCAGGAATTTATAGGAGTGAGCTGAAAAGTAATCTTGTGCAATTGCCTGCATAAAAACTGAGAGCATGAAAAGACGCCTAGACTGGAAATATTTCAGATGAGAGTCCCAAAGAATCGGCACAGCATGGGATAATAACCTTGCAGCACTACAGATGTTTTTTAGGGCTTCAAAAGCTTCTGTATTCTTGTAAGCACTGATTTTCATGAAATCATATTAATGATATTCAGGCATATGTCAAACCTATCCTACCTCGGTTTACAGCTGCACACACCTAGTCTTACTGCTGAAATATATGCGATGCACAAGACAGCAAAATGTGTAACACTGGAAACAGGATAAGGCAGTCGACAGAATTACAGCAATAGTTCCTCAGCGCATTAAGTAGCTCAGCCTTACTCAAGAAAATTGGCTGTTGTGCACCTCACTGAAGCCAGTTCTGAATGAAGAGAACTTGAAGCCTCAATTTTCCCCCTCCTGGGTAGACAACTGTTGTTTTGAGGCAACACGTTTCCAGTGCAAAAACGTTCAAATCTGACTTTCTGCCAAAGCTGTTCTGATGAGTGTAAGGCAGCTGTAACTCTGAGTTCCCTGAGAGAAATGTGCACAAGCACATGAGACACCAAAAAGCTGATGCACTCTAAGATTATTTGATTTACCACATGCATGTTTATAATGGGACCTCAAATTAACCTCAGATAAAGCTTCTGGACAGATTTCTGCCCAGGTCTTATGCTTTCAAGTAACTCCAAAACTGATTTTAGATCTCAAAAGCCAGTTTTAAGCAGGAACATGTAACCCTTTCTGAGTACAGAAAATTCAAAATGACTCTACAAGACAGAGTACAAGTGAAAAGAGTTTATAAACAAACCTCCTCCTACACACAGTGTCTTTCCAGGCAGCTCCTTTCCTTAGGGTCTGGCTTTACTCCAACCATGCAGTGCCTTTCTGGGACTGAAAAAAACCCCTGCACACAGCATTTATGGCCATTTGGAAAAATTTATCCTTCCTGTCAAGCCAACAGTCTGGCTAAATACCTGCTCCCTGCTCTCCTCAGGCCAAAGCAGCAACAACCTCCCCTTCTCTTTGGAAGAATCAAGTCTTTTCCTTGGCAAATCCATGTGCCACGGGAACGGGAGCATGGAAGCAGAGAAATGCATGGTTTTTTTCTTCCACAGTACAAAAGAAGAGAAATCAGAACATTTATCTTCATACAGTTGTTTGTTCAGGACTTAGCACAGTGGCGAAGAACATGTTAATCTCCCTACACTCAGATGAAAACATACCTTCATTTTTCACTTAAAAGGCAGCCCATGTCAGAATAAGAAAAATAAGTTTAAAAAAAGATAAATTAATGATATTTTTAGTATTACTATAATAGATGCTTAAATCAGATGCTCTTTACTGCAGAATTAGGCAAAGATATTTCCCAAATTTATAACTTTAGTACTTGTCCTGGTTTTGGCTGGCATAGAGTTAATTTTCTTCCTAGTATCTGGTATAGTGTTGTGTTTTGGATTTAGTATGAGAATAGTATTGATAACACCCTGATATTTTTAGTTGTTGCTAAACAGTGTTCATACTAAGTCAAGGACTTTTCAGCTTCTCGTGCCCTGCAAGGCTGGAGGGTCACAAGAAATTGTGAAGAGATACAGCCAGGACAGCTGACCCAAACTGGCCAAAGGTATATTCCATACCATATGATGTCATGCCCAGTATATAAACTGGGGGGAAAGCTGGCCGGTGGTTGCTCAGAACTGACTGAGCACTGGTGAGCGACTGGTGAACAAGTGCACTGTGCATCACTTGTTTCGTATGTTTCTTTATTGTTTTTTCCCCTTCCTTTTCTGTCCTATTAACCTGTCATTATCTCAACCCACAAGTTTTACTCTTTTTTTTTTTTCCCCTCCTTTCTCTCCCTCATCCTCCTGTGGGGGAGTGAGCGAGTAGCTGTGTGGTGCTTAGTTGCCAGCTGGGGTTAAACCATGACAGTACTACAGCATAAATTAAAAAAATTATCTACATTCCTTCCAAGAGAAGAGTCAAACATCCTCCTCTTCTTCTCCTAATTTTATGCCATCATCTTCAAAATAGAGAAGGGAACAGAATATTGTCACTGAAAGCAATTGAAAACTTCCCCTTAACATTGTGGTTAAAGGCTGATTAACTCCTTTTGAGTAATGAATTAAAAAACTTCACTCAGGAGTGTGTAACTCACAGGCCAAGGATATAAAGCTGCCGGAGCAGGAGCAGTGATTCCTCCCTCCCTGTCTTCCTCTCCTACCTCAGCTACCTATCAGCCCAAAGCAGCACTCGGTAGGCAGACAGCTGGTGCTAATTCCCTTTTTCACTTGGGTAATAATAACCAGCACCCTCAGGTCAATCTAGTGGATGCCTGTATTCTTTGGCAAGTTAATCACACAGTGTTACTATCAACGAACTAAGTTTGAATATAGTAGATAATGCAGACAGATAGTGGATGTTATATTGGCAATTCGTTTTGCGGTTTTAAGTTCAGGTAAAGCTGAGAGGCAGAAAAACTAAGGAGGTCATGAAGAAAGGGCAACTCTTCCACAGGATACTGGTATTTCTTTAGCTTGTCTCCTGCACCACAAGGCAGCTGAGTTAGCGATTAACCCCTGTGGGAACTGTGACATATAAAGCGATTAAGAAAGTGACACATCATTCCATTACAAGAGAGAGAAAGAATGAAGTGAATGAATGGTGGCACATGAGGGATGTACTGATGAGGTCAGACAAGTGAGATGAAACGTCGAGATGCAGCCGAATTTAAACACAACAGTCACTTGACAGGAAACTTTCAGACCTCCGTGCATGTGCCTTATGGTGATGCGGGATCTTCAACTACTTAGTGGATGCATTTCTCAGGATACAGTATCTCACCAAAGAGGATGTTTAGAACTGGAACAGGACGATCTCTACAACTGCCTGTTTATACTCTGCTGAGGACAAAAGTATTGATACTTTTCAATGAGCACAGTGAAGTAACAGTAAAAAGTGGAAATCAGTATTAAGGTACCTGTGCAAAATCCGCTGCAAGCCGCATCTTCCCACCTTCACCGAGGGGCCTTATTAGACTGGCATTGCGAATGAAAAGTTCAATTGCTCTTTGAGCCATGGCTTCAGTGTTATCAAAGACAAAATCAGAACACTCAAAATGTCTGAAGTAGTCGCTCATGACTCTCGCTATAAAACCCTGTAGTTCTTTCATGTACAGAGAACAAGGGACATCTGGTTTTCCTGAGCTGGATAATGATCTAAAAAAAAAGAAAGGAAAAAAGAAATGGGGACAGTTAAATCCATCTTTAAAACAGAACTGAAGACTATTTAATTTTTTTCCTAACCCACAAAGCCATGGCATGAATTGTAGAGTCTCATTTCTACTCAGAATAAAGAGCGTGTAGCTCCCTCTGAAACTACAGTCAAAAGTATCTCTTTATCAGCTATTCCCATCCTAACAAGATAAAGGAAATTACCCCACTCCCCAACTTGCAGAGCCTCCACCAGTTCGGATCCTAAATGTCAAATCCAGCTCCTAAACATAAATGCCCCAGTTATTGGTCTGAAACTCTAATCATGGATTGGAAAACTCAAACACATGTCACAGGGTTACTAGTTTAGCCTATGCCAAACGTATTCTCTTTACAGAATTAGTTTCCTAGATTCCTCCAAACACAGGATTATAAAGCTAATCTAATTATCACTGAAGCAGCACAGAAGCTACAGGACACAGAAATCAATCATCTTTCTCCTTCTTTGAATCACAGGCAATAAAGCTCTTCCAAACTCATGAATCTATCTAACAAAATTGAGCCTTTGGCTAGAATCAGCTTATTCACATTGAGAGGTGTTTTGCTAGTGACAGCAAAAGAAAGATGGGGAGGGTAAAATATTGTTTTTTAAAAAAAAGTCAAAAGGAAAAGTTAAAACACCTCTGAAAATATACTGATTTCAGTGAATTTCCAAGGCAGAAAAAAAGGCCATCTGATGATGATATAAGCAATGTCAGAACAGAGATAACAACGAAAATAACACTTAGGAAGGAAGGCTCAATTATAGATAAGACTGAAGATCTTTGCAGATTAAAAATACCAGAAATTTTAATTAAAATGTTATGGGAAATAGTGTAAGACACCAAATCTGAGCTTTCAATAAAAAAGATTTTTTGAATCATTTCAGATTGAATAATATTTAAAAAAAAATTCTGTGCAGTTTCGAATCAGGTTATATACTTTATTTTGAGAAATGAGAATATTGACAGTTCTGAAGACTGACCACAAAAATACAAGTTTTGAAAGCAGAAGGGTTTTTTAAGCACAAAAATCGCCTCCGCTTGGCTTTATTTTTATATTTAAAATGAATTTTACTCAACAGATACGCGAAAAAAAAAGGGGGGAGGAAAAAGACAGCTGCTACCTGATTAATTTGTTTCAACAGATAAGTGTAATTCTGCTTCCTGTGTTCACTGACCATAAAGCATCGTCTTCCCTTCAACAAATAAGCACTCTTGCTCCAAAGGTGTTGTGGCAATAACAATCTGTTATGTATATGCAGGGCATCTTACTAAAGCAATGGTAAATTTTAAAAATATCTCTAGTTACCCAGAAAAATCTTCCTGGTGCATAGTGATGATAATAGCTTCTACTGAATCTTCTACAGAGTTCAGTAACGGTTGAACAGCACTACCCATTAGATCATGGACTGCCTAAAATAGAATAAGATAAAAGGCACACGTAAGGAAACAGAAAATAGAAGCATTTGCATTTTGACACCTCAAATATACCTTGACAAACAGTTCGTTTCAACAGAGCTTTTTATTATTCTGCATTAGAAACTGCTAAGCAGAAGGAAGAAAGCCTAAGTGAACACTTCTCTTCAATCAATTCTTACCAGCAAAATACAGAAATACAGCTGTTTACCCTGTAATGCCTTTCCTCAAAGAGGTGCACAACAATCTGAAAAAAGGTTCATGAATGTCCACGTTCTGGTGCCTACCCTTTGTTCAGCTGCTCATTCCACCAGACAAACAAACCACCCTCCGCTCCTTCGCACACAACCCCTCCCCGCACAGCGCCCAGCAGGACGATGTGGAGAGCTGTCATCCGCAGAGCCCTGCACGGCCATCCACATCGCCTCCCAGAAAAGCTCCAGGTAGCATAAAAATATCATAATTTTATGTGTGTGTTGGGGGGATGGAGGGGTAAGGAGATGATGACGGCTCCAGTTACAGCTGTGTGAATGCTGCAGAGAAAGACATTTATTTTCACTGTCAGATGACATCTGGGTTCCGACCATTGTGAGAATATTCTTGAATACAAACACTGCTCAAGCAGTGATTTGGCAAATGCAACATATATTTAGCTGCAGATACACAAAATATAAATTCCAGAATACTTGCACGCCTTTGACTAACATATACTGACACAAAATAATACCTGGGAAAATAAGTGCCTGTTTTAAGTGTAACAGGCAGAGCAAAGCTCAGCCCTATCCCTGCAGCATATGGACATTCAATTACCTTTAAGGCAGTTGTGACTGTTTGCTCAGCGGCTGCTGGAAATGAGCTCTGATTGGTAATGACCTAAAAAATTTAAAGTAATTGTTAACAGGCAACATTCAACAAATTATTAGAATCCATAATATTTAATTTCATTTAAAAGCATACTGAGTTACCCTTAGTAATGAGTGGTTTACATAGGTATATATAATTATCAAATATGTTTTACACAGACAGAATTTTCAATGCACCAGGATCAGTCCTTGGCTCTCAGATTTCCTATGGACTCTGCTTCTGCCTTGGCAAAGAAATTATTCAACTGTGTTCAACTGCAATTTAGCTGAAGGGTTAACAGAACCAGAATAAAAATAAGTGGTGTGTTCTCCCACTACTAAGTATAGAATTTATGGAGAACTATTCCAGCAACTCTATGGCAAATATTTGAAAGAATGGTTGCTCTTTCTCAGTATTTTGACTATTATAGTACTACATGTTAAATAGCTATTTATGTGCAGCTACGACAATATTAGAATTGAAAGTCAAGGAATGAACCAAAGGAATATTCTACCAATTTCCTTACAGCTATGAACACGCTACACAATAGTATTTTTAAGCCAGCTAAGTACTGAACTCAAAGACTGATTCATATCAGATCTCCCTCCAACACTAAGGCACATGAGGTTCATTACTAAATACATCAGAGAAAGCAGACTTAAAAGTTGATCTACCATCTGTTTGTAAAATCCAAGCAAATTTTGTAAGCTTTTTAGCATTTTTTGACATTCTTTAAACATATCCACAGTCAGGAGTACTCATGGTCTTTTTTCTAATCAGGCTAGGATTTAAAAACAAATAACTACAACTACCACTATATCTGTTTGTTTTAATTTACAGAGACTGTGTAACCATTGGCATCGCTAAGCCAGTAAATCAGAATTATTCATAACTGTGCTTAGTCCTGAAAACATTTCTAGGCCAGACTTTGGCCACAGCAACAATGCATGGAGATATTTGTGAGGTGCTGCTTTTCTTGATTTCACCCTTTCCTTTCACTTTTCAGTTTGGCCATAATCATGGGAAAGCAGTGAGGGTCTTCTGAGAAAGATAAGCTGGGGCAGATGCAGACAAAGGCTATCAGGCTGGCCAGTACAAAGACAAGGCTTACTTGATAAAGAGTTCAGTTATTTAGCTTCACAAAACATCGGCTGTGAGATGTGATTATGCTCTATAAACACATCTTCCACTTCTAATATGGACAGTTTGTCACATAGCTGTGCTTTCAAGGGCCAACAAAGTCTCAAAGAGTTGTAGAAATGCACAGCAAGGTGCAGCCCTTAACCCAAAATTGGACTGTATTTGTCAGAGCTCTCATCAGCTGATGGGAGAATACGCATCCAGCAGAGCAAAGAAGTTCACGCTATGGCAAGAAGAGACATACCAAAGGAAGCCTACCTTCAGAACTGACTGGTGCAGTTTATACAGCGAATTAACTACAGCCATGTTCCTCCTTTGTCCTTCTGTCAGCGGTCCAATCACTTGGCTGGCATCTCCTTGAGTAGACAGCTGCAGTGATTGCAGAAATTGTTAAAACAGTACCAACTCTTTGAATGGTGCATTGCCACAAAAAACTGCAGTTAACTAAACTTAGACCACGGCAGAAAGCCATAGGGCTTCAGCATAATTTTTCTTCCATTTATCTCTTGCCTTGATTCATTTGATTTCCATCTCCAGGTAATACAAACTGAACAACAGGAACCGTGAGAGACTGCTGTCATTAGCTCCCAAACGACAGCACTCAGACCCAGATCTCTTGGGAGGTACCTAGTGCCACCACAACTTCAACTTTGTAATTTAAGAGTTAGGTGAAGTCACCTACCCGAGGATGCAGTATCAACTAGCAGCAGCAGAAGCGAAAAGGGTATGGTTTTCTGCATACCCTCAGTTCTTATTTCTGACAGCCATTCAAGCCTCTCTTTAAAAATTCCGTTTCTTCAAATAGACAGCTTACAGCTTTGTACATATTCCTGGCTTGTAAATGAACAGGAAAATAGAACTGCAAGGACCAAAACTGCTAGCCCTGTCATTAAAAAGTGTTAAATCTATGCATCTTTCAGCAAAATAAAAAAAATATATTTCTTCATACTTAAGCTCCGCAAAGCATGCATTTTTTATCATTACCACAGAAATCAGAGTTCCAGGGCGATACATAGATAGCAATTAACTACAGAACAGTGCCGTAAGGGTACCACAGCATACATTTAGAATTTAAAACAAACAAAAAAATTTAATTGGGAAACAAAGGGCAATTTTCTTGTGCCCTGAAAGCTGCAGAAATACAAAGAATTGACAAAAGGCTCTGTGAATTCTAGAAGTACATGTAAATATTTCAGCAAGAATAGCTATTAATAGAAGGCTTTACTGCAATATAATTATCTGACTAGTTATCTGTATTTCAGGATACAAAATTATCCTTCAGGAAACTCCTGAAAATGCCTAGCTCCAAAAGTCTCTCAGTAAAAATATATTCAACTCACTGAACAAGTCATCAAGAGACTCTTATGAAGTGTGTCTTTAAACACAGTTGAAGGTCCTACAGTAAGCTCCTAAACTAAAACTGAATATACAGAAACAATTGTTTAAGAACAAAAGCAACAAACATAAGATAAAAAATTTTAAGTAATGGGCAACAGTGAATCTTTGCTAGTGAAAGACTATTCGTGTACTTCCCATAGCTTCCAGTCAGCATAAACACAGACAGCATGCAAGCAAAGTTATCTAGCATTTGCCAGCACTGCTAATAATGAAATTTTAGACAAATTCTTGCCAATACACAAGAACTTAAACTTACTCACAGCACTACAGTGACAGTATCAGTTCATTTCCCTTTCTTCAAATGTAGGGATTATTTCAGGATAGGTTTCTGAGGCTATGCAGAGGGAAGAATCTTTCCCAATGTATCTTCAATTAATTGACATAAAAATGCATCTGCAGACTAGCTGACAAATATGTCATCTCAGCATCTTCCTGCCTTCCCGAGGAGAACAGCCACGTGAGCTCTGCACATCTGTTTCCTTCCTGATATTTCTATTTGACAGACCTGACTGGTTTAAAGAATTCTGACACAGTTGCACAGATTACTAACAAAAGCGCTGTGCAGAGAAACACCGTGTTCACTCAGCTCACCACCCTCCCAGATCCCCACAACCTTTTTCTCACACCCTTTTTAAGCACTGTACAGACCAATCAGTTGTCTTTTGCACATTTACAACTACTGAACATAAAAGACATTAAGACAGTAAAATTTTAGGTCCTAGTTACTGAAATTTCAGTTCCTCAAGAGTAAAGGCTTCACAGTTTCTTTTTCTTAGACATTATGAAATCATTAGACTGTGTCCCGTCTGCTGGTGAAAAAGCTTAACTGGTAAGTAAAAGCAGTAACAAGTACAAACACAACCCTTCTGCAGCAACAAGCAACTCACAGCTAGCAGTTGTGCACAACAGCTTGAATAACCTTGAATCAGTTGGAACTTTGACAACTGGATGTGTTGATCCCTTAAAATAAAATAACTGATCTAAATCAAAGAGGCTTGGAAAACTTGACTCCTGTTACTCACAGTAGGAACTCAGCAGCCCAGGGCTCCTAGGACTGCTTCCCCTGAAGGTGTGCCAGGGGAACACTCGGCACCTACGTGGGTGGGTGTGTCCTACCATCATGGGAACAGTCAGCATCTCTAAAGGTAGGTGCACCCTACCCTACCCTCATGGGAACAACCAGCACCCACGTGGGTGGGTGTTTCCTACCATCTACAGCAGAGGTCTCAGGTGGTCGTTCCCTTCTCTTGTCACCACCACGATTTCTATGACCTTGCCTTGAGGCAAGAAGGTTCTGTGCTGACTCTGTCCAATGTGGTTCACGTACGTGCACTTTGTCACTGGCATGTATCTGGATTTCTAGTAGTTTATCATTATTCCTATGCCTCAGTCTGAATTGTTGACACCTCTAATATCCATTTGTCCTGGTGTGAGAGCACCATCGTGCCGTCATGCATTCAGGTAGGAAAATGCCTCCCTGATTCCAACAAACCACGCTTATGGCCCATTTACTTCAGACACAAATCATCCCCCACTTTATCTTCCATCATACTAGATTTTATCAATGACTTACATTCATCACTCTCATTTATACAGCAAGCACTTTTGAAGTTCTGTGCTGGACACAGCTTATGCATTTAAGCCCAGTGGTAACATAATTCTTCCTCTGTTATCTGCCTGCTGGGGATTGCACTGTGCAAATACATTACGCGAAGTAAGTGTGAACCTAGCCACATCCACCGAACTGAAAGACATAGTCCAAGGGCCTTCTTTGCAACAAGAGGACTAAAGACAAAATCCGATGCCTTTTTAACCAGATTTATCCAGAAATACAGAAGGCCAGAAGGGTGAATTTATGCTTAGCAGAAATAGGCAGGACAGAATGGGTGACTTCATCCCAAATCACAATCTATTTTGGTAAAGAAACAAAAGACATAACAAAAAACATAGTGGAGCTGAAGGACCAGATCCCATCTCCAGGGAACCATCAGTCACCCTGGGAGTTAGTCTGGCTTGAGCCTGCTAGCTGAAAAGAACATAAAGGGAAAAAAACTACACCGCAGCCAGACCTGAATGAGCAGTAACAACAAGGACTGTAACTGTTCCACTTTTCTGTATCTGCCTTTAAGTATAGCAATTGATTTCTTACACTCTTCACTTTACTTGGGTAAACTGTTTCTCCTTTTACCTCAAAGCCTGTTTACTATTTACAGCAATTTCATGGGTGCTAGCAAAGCACAGGCACCCCATTCCCCAGAAAGCAGCAATTCCACAGTGGGTGACACACCAGTATGAGCTCCCTTTGCCAACAGCAGCTGCCACCACACCAGCAACATGAGATGTTAGTGAGGAAGAGAGGAGTGAGGCAGAAGTCTCCCATGAGCAAATATTACCCAGGACTTCTGCATCATGCATCAGGCACTGGAACAAGGTCTTTGTCTTGTGGTGCCCTCAAGAATGTGAATGTGAGCTTCCACCCCATGCAGCAATTCAAACTCAAAGGGCAGCGGTTAAACTAAAATAAGAAAGAACTACTGGAGGTACTGTCTTTCTGACACGTGTATGAAGACATTCTCTAAGGTAGGATGTTGAAATTTGCAGGTTCAATCCAGTAGCTGACTAGCTGAAGGAAGTTGCCTAGAAGACTGTTTTTTCTAATCTAACTCAGCAGAACCTGAGGACTAAATAGTAGGTCGGGTTGTTTACTGAACCAAAGACACTTGCACAAGATGATAAACAAAAAATGTGTCATGAAGAGAAAAAGCTCACCAATGGCCATCTGACTTCCTTCAGCCAAACATGGTCAAGAAACTGTAAGTCATTACCAGATCTGTGTTGTCATCAAATTCACGTATCCCTCTAGAAAACAGTTTCTTTTAATTTGTGTCCTTCAGTACCTTAATGCTGCTGCACTGCTTCAGATGCAGAGATTCCAGGTGCCACATATTGGTTCAGTCAATTGCCCAATGCAGAAAATTTCAGGAACGATTCACCCGACCACATGCAGGAAACCATGAAGTATAGAAATAAGCACTTCGGTTGAGTAATTCACCTGGCCTACTTCAGAGGCCTTGAGTTAGGGAGACTAAATACTATCTGTTTCCCTCCGCTTACAATCAAAGGAACCTAAGGCTGTACCACAGGAAGCTATAGTGCCAGATGAATTCTCACCCTATAAATGTATTTGCATCCTTTTGCATAAACCCACTTTGGAAATATGTCTTGGAAACAACCAGATCAAGTGTTCCAGATTTTACATTTTTCTGTGTTTAATACCTAAGAACAGACATGTAATTTGACAGCATGGTTTTGATCTCACATGTTGAGACATGCACTATGGTAAGGCTGCCTTGGGTTTATATTCTTGTTTTCACTATGCAGCAATGAATGTGGAATCTAGATTAGAATGTGAATTGGATCATTGGTTCTCCCTCAGGTTATAAAAAAAATGCTAACGGAGTTTGTCTTTTTCTTGTAGAAAAGCTCAGACTACAGATACATCTTTTCCTATAATTTGTTTAGTGTTTCAAAGTGACTAACCTCCCCTCTTCCAACACGTCGCAGCTCAGAAGAGACACTGATTTGTGAGCTGGTTTGCTGCCCTTCTCTTCACAGACTAAACATCTTGCAAAAAAGCTCAGTTTCACACTAGAGTAACTAAGATCTTGGGTGCATCCTTATTGACAGTTTCGGAAAACTCCATTTATTTTTCTCTGCCATAAAACAGCCTCAGCTAACCTACTCTCTGAAGAGTAGGAAACAGCATTATAATTTAGGAGTACGGAGAAGATCTTAAATCAAAAGAAGACGGACGTAGTGCCTCTCAACAAAGCATTTCATCTATCTCTAGGATCACAAGACTAATGTGTTTTGATAGGACAAATTGAACTCCAGTCATCAAGCTGACATTTTCAGGAATAAATACATTCCTAATAGAGGCAGCTGATGTGGCCATACCTCTGGCAGAAAGC